TGGGACTAGGCTGTAATTAGTATATATTTAGTTCGGACAAGATATACACATAATTATACTGGTATAAATTGATTGTGGAAATATTTTAAACGGTGTTTGCCTCCCTGCCTTTCAATGTTCCATCGTCCCTGCAATCAATTTGTTTCTGAATCAGGAAAACGGCGACCATTTTCGTCCCAAAAAGTGTTAAAATGTGATCTCAGCTTGTAAATTTTGGCATCGTTTAGTAATATGCGGTTCAAGGATACAGAAATACAGCTGACATATGCAGTTTGGTCGTGATTGTTAAGACAAGTATACATGTTGCATCGAGTGATGGTACATCATGTTCTTCACTTTATGCTGTCTCAAAGTGCAAAGCTCATGTGAGTCCAGGGGTCGAAATTTACGCTATTCAGTATATACCAGTAAAATGAATGCATGTGGGTATTCCGTTTGTATAGTATAGAATAACATTAATTGTGGAGTTTAGTAGCACAACTTTTTAGATTTCGAGTTTTCGTTATTGCATGGCAAACTGGCCTCATATCATGCATGTGTCGTCAAAACAACTTTAGTTAGAGTAATAGAGCTGTGTGCATGTATTCGATAGATTCTTCATGTATAGTAAAACCTGCTGTGTTTATTTGTTGATCTTCAGTTTTCCTGAAGATCCCTGTCTTTTGAGGCTTATGTAACAGCTGTCAGAGACATTAGCATGTGAACAAAGAGAGATAAGGCATAATGAAACTTCAGACGGAATAGCAAATTTGATAATCTATATAATCGTGGTTGTATAGCAGGAACAAATATAAATTTCGATCCATGATGAGTGGAACTGAATCTGTCCTGATGTGCTCTCCTACCAGAAGACAGCAGTAGACACTACGGATGCAGTGAAGGGGTGGTATAGCTAAATACCTGTGCAGCAAAGGTGTAACAAAAATTTTTAACAAGTTTTCAAAGCATTGTGAAGCCATAAATTAAGCTATATAATAAATTAAATTTAAGCCACAAAGTTTAAAGGACTACGATTTCCAGCTACAAAAGGTGTCCATATGATGGCAAACTAATCCCCCTATTTCGCGAAGTGTGCGCTATTACTGACAGCAAGGTACTCGGCACTAAGGGGGAAGTTTTCTGGGTGCTACATGTATACTTCAATGAACTACATGCAGTTATACTCTACACCGACCCAATGAGAGGTAGTCATTGATTCTGGTTTGTACTGTTTTAGTTTTACAAATGTTCGTTGAGAAATATCATCAGCCTTGAGAACAGCAGGAAAAATATATTGAAGCACTGTTTGAAAGTAGGCTACTCTTAATATTTGTTGTTACCAAGGCAGCGCTTAAAAACAGCGTTTCTATTTGGGCGGAAACTAAGATAACCAATAGCCTTGCCTGGAAATTGCAAAGTCAAGTTCGATTTCGTAATTCGAAAATATAAAGAATTTTGAGATTTTCAGGGATTGTTAGAAATTTTTACACATTTTTAGGAATTTGAAGTTTTTGAAATCTTTTCCATAATGTAAATATACAAGGATGTATATATTCACAGGGTACAGTATATCACTAAACCACCGATATCGATATGCACCATTTCATATTCATACCTTTTGCGGACGGTTTAGGTGGAGTATTCAAAATATCTGACCATTGTTTTGTCGAGTCATTTTGCTGATTCTCTCGAGCTCTTCTTCTCTCTTCCAATATCCTGTTGGCCATTTCATGTAGGTTGTAATTGATATATCGTCCTGAAAAGTTCCCATGACAACGGAACAAGTGACATTTATGCTTGCCAGTAAATTGGTCTCTTGCCACATACGCAAAGTGTCTGTAAATGAGATGAGGAATTTACTTTTGGTATGGTATCAGATGTTAGGAACTAAAGTTCATAAACCGAGCCGAGCAGAATTGAATTGAACTAAATTTAAAGTGCCAGTAACACCAAATAGGTTTTTTTGGTTTGGAAAACTTTCGAATCATTCTGAAGGCTCGTTACACTTGCAATTTTGCTGCGATTTCTAGTGCGAGTTTTCCCTTCTGATGGATGTGAACGAGTAGATGAGTTATGAATGTTCAAAGAAAATGTACAGACTATCCTCACCTGAACTTTCAAAGCTCACCTAGTCGTTCACATCCATTAGAAGACGAAAATCGCACTAGAAATCACAGCAAAAATTGCAAGTGTAAACGGACCTTGAGAAGTGAAAGACCTCATAATTATCAACTTTTTCACGAATATGATGTCATTAGGTCAAGTTTTGGAGCAAAAAAACAAAGAAAAACTACTTTGCAATCCACCTAATGGTATCATATTTGAGAACTGCTATTGTGAAATGATTGTTTGAAATGAGGCTTTTTACTATAAAGATATATAATATTTCTTCTTGGAAATACTACAAATACCAAAATTCGTATTTGGTATTATTTGGACTTTAAACTTATTACCCACTTCTATAACTTCGAAACTCTTGATATTTGAATTCGTTGAACGAATTTACTCGCTGAACGAATTTATTCGTATTTTGAAACTCTGAAAGCAACACAACACAACACCACACAATATAACACAACACAACGCAACACATGCAAAACATAGCAACTTAAGTTTTTAACACATATTTTACTTACTTCCGTTCTTGTCTTCCAAATGTCCAACCGCGTATTTTCGAAAGAGGCTGTACCACGAGAGTTGCCTTAGTTTGATAGTCGACCAATTTCAAATTATCAGTCCCCAGAAGCAAACGTAAATCATTACCCTAAAAAGCAGCCAACTGAATTGTGATTCTCGTTGCAATGTATAGTCTAACTGCATGCAGGTTTCTCTCTTCGCTGTTCCTATCAACCTCGTACCCAGGGGGTTTCAAGGTATGATATATACAATAATAGCGACCTGAAGCATGTAGGATGGGAACGTGACGGTGACCGCAAACACACTCGTTGAATCAAATCATTGCCGAAGAAAACTTGTCGTCTATTCATTTCTGCGCATTTTCTTGTTTTAATGGTGTAATAAACCGTCCTCGTTGCACTTTCGTCCGGCTTGTTGACGTTCTTAGTAACCGTAGTGCTTTATAATTTTGAAAGTGTAAATTCAAGGCTGTTTCCTGTCACGTCCCCGTACTAGATTAAGCCTTGCTGAAGTTCGCTATTATGTTCCTGGGTTACCTGTAACTGTAAGCACCTTGAGTGGTGACGTCACGCTACATGCTAGCTTCAGAACGACAGAGACTAGGCCAGTTGCTATGCATACAAAAGTACATAAACAGGATACTCGAATGCTGTTAGCATTTATATTATTCGGTATTTATAAATGGTGTGCTCCAGCGCACATTTTCACGCATCCGCTTGCCGAGTCATTTAGTGTGCGGTAGAAGTTGAAAAGACTTGAATGGGAGTGCCAAGTAATTCAAAACGAAGGTCCGTCGCTAGAAACGTCGAACTTTGTTTCAAATTTGATAAAATACGTGGCAAACTTCATCTGATGACACCAGCAATGAAAATATTGCATATTTATATTTATATTCAGTGAACACTAAAATCAATGTGGCTGAAAGTGGACATACTGCAGTGCCTGGTTGTGCCGACACTAACAATAACATTATCGGTCATTGAAAACTAGGCGACCAATATCTGTTAAGATTGTCAAACATACTGTATCTACGACATTTATGGCATTTATTTTTTGAACAATTTTATTGCATCTTGTAATTTTGAAATTTCTTTTACTAGGTTTAATGGATAGAAAAGCCGTATCATAGTAAAGTGTTTGGTTTTCTGACCGCCACGGGAGCTATTATCATCTTTTACAACAATAGATCGCTGACCAACCGCATGCAACGAAAATTTGGCAACGTAATATAATCTGAGTAATTGTTGACCCATACAGACGAAAACAATTTGTTCTTTGCCAATATTTTCTATGACAAGTTCACTTGTCCAAATCCTAGCATACTAGCTTTCGAATAAGTGGACGTGTCATGGAAAATATTGGCACATGCCTGTAGAAAATCCTCCTATAGCTAGTTGTGCTGGGCCAAAACGAAATTTTTCGTGACCAAACTAAAAAATATTCTTGCAAGTTGTAAGCAAGTTTCAAGCTCGCCCGGTGTGGATATACACTCAGGGTAACATCACAAACATCATATTCACCTGAGTACACAACACCAACACAGAAAAAATTTATATCGGAAATTAAGAATTTTACAAGGATTAAATAATACAAACTGAAAAAAGTCAACACATTACTGTTGAATAGTCAATAGTGATTACTGTTGAAGATCCGATGTCAAATATCAATTATGAAATATGAATTCTTCAATGCTAATATTTAATTATTCTGCCCATATATTCTCTCCAGTGTGTATTGTATTACATGATATTTTCTGAATTCTCATCCTCACAAGTCACAAATTATGTGATGTAAAATCACTAAAATAGTAAACTGTTCCTCAGTTGAGTCATTTCTAAGAAACTTTAGATTTTCCTGGGGCAGCAGCCAGATTCCCGAAATCTCCTGGCCTACAGATTCCAAGCTTTTCCATGCAGCTGCTATACAGCACTGAAGATCCAAAATTTATGTTCGCGAAGACGACAATTTTCCTTTTCTACAGGCATGAATTGGCAAAGTTGCCTATACAGACGAGCAAATAAAACTTGCATGTCATAAAAAATTGCTCGTCTGTAACCGGCTTTATTGGCACTACCATCACTGGCACAGACAATGCAAACACGTGCGACATAAAAAAGTAAAGTACCGTTTAATACTTAGTTGAAAGGTATTGTAGATGGAAATTATTGAGTGGAATTTTATATACAGACAGACTGATTACATTGATTAGACCTAACCAGGAACAGAAGCGCAAAATGCAAGTTTAGGTCCCTGGCAGGAATCGAACCTACGTCCCTGCGATTCCGGTTCAGAGCTCTAACCAACGGAGCTACATATGGGCCAGTTGTCCAGCTCTAACCACGAGTTCATGTATTCTTTGCTCGCACATGACGTCCCTATACGTATCATTAGGCGCCATCTTGGTTGATTTTAAAGTTTTGTCCAGCCGTTTACATCGGAATAGTTGAGTTACTTTAATATTTTTGGTTTGTTTTGAAAACATCTTACTGTATTATGGTGGACTTCAATAATTTGGATTCTTGCACTTCACATGGTTGAATTAATATTAGAATGTTAGGGTTTGTAATCCAAGTGAGAATATATATATATATATATATATATATATATATATATATATATATATATATATATATATATATATATATATATATATAAGACATATCCTGGAACGACTGCGAAAAATGCAGCACAAGGTCCTCTGGTAGGAATTGAACCTACGGCCCTGCGATTCCGGTGCAGAGCTCTAACCAACTGAGCTACAGAGGCTAGCTGTTGAGCTGTAACCGTAAGTTCATGTATATATAGGTAATCGGGTGTGCGGGTTGTGGTAAGGTGGACTTCAATGATTTGGATTCGTGCACTTCACTTGGTGGAATTAATATTAGAATGTTAGGGTTTGTAATCCAAGTGTGAACATATACATTTTAAGACCTAACCCGTTAGGTCTTAAAATGTATATATTCTCACTTGGATTACAGACCCTAACATTCTAATATTACTGCATTATGGATAGTATACGATTCCTGGCACAACTATATGCACGACAAAGAATGAAGAATATAGATTTTTAGTTGCCACAAAATCAACCAAGATGGCGTCGATTGCAAACGAGCAATATATACTATCTAGGATACTGCCATGTGTAGGTTATGTGTAAATATCAAGATTTTGTTGGCATGTCACTCGATTGAATATGAGTTGAAGAGTATTATAAATAATATACATTTACGTTTAATACTTACCCCACCCCATGTTTCATGTGTTTTCCACAGATCCTTTCTTTCTCTTGCCAGATTACTGATGCACTCAGCAATTGTATCAATCAAATTGTGTTGAGCAACTTGACTTTCTTCCACTTCGATCCAACCCATCGAGTGCATTGGAAAGCTGGTCACCTAAAATGTCCAAAAAATTTTATACATATAAGTTTTGTCTGCAATCATGCAACTGTGGCTGTCAATGTTGGGCACAAAAGCAATTAGTATAAATTTTGCATATCAAATGAGCTTTTGCGCGTTCTGATTGGCTAGTTGACTAGTAAATCTGAGGCATTATTTACTACCAGACTAGTAAATAATGCGTTTCAAAAAGAATGATTCGGCGAATTTGGTTTCAAAATCGACAAAATATTGAAAAAATCGTCCCAGAAAACGAAAAAAACACACAAAATGTTGTATTTAACTTGAAAGGCAGGATTTCTTTATTATTTTACTGTGTTAAACATAATATTCAGGGACAATTTAAGACTTATTTAAAACCCCGAAACGCTTCAAACAAATAGCAAAAACTATCCCGACTCATGTTGGGAAAAGCAGTGATATTCTTTTTAAAACAATTTTGTTTTGCATGCTATAGCTAAATATTTCAATTTGTACGATACTATTTCTTCTTATATGTCGTGTTTTCATTGTGCTATATGGTGTCTTGAATTGTACTATTCTGTTTTTAAAACTTGTAAAGTGAAAAGTGTATTAAAACTTTTATATTTCGAACGACATAGTTTTACATTTCATTTTACCAAATTTCTCAGCCATTTCCTGAACAAATTAATGCTAAACAGAAACTATTTTTAAAGTCTGGTGAAAAAGTCATTCCATCATTGTGTTTATATTCTAAGCAGAAATCGAGCAATAAAGCAATAAAGTCACACAGGAGTAAACAGCACAGATTATACCAAACACAGTGATTTAATACTCGCAGCGACTAGTGAGCTGTGAATAGAACTGAGAAGAAGCATTATATATTGAAGTAGCAAAGACCAGGGGTTAAAGGGCAATCAGAGGTGACAGATATTAAACATGTGCGTCTCATTGACATACAGGTAAATTAAGATCAGATTTCATATCAAGTCTGTTTAGCTGTTTAGGCGCATTTACCACATTATATAGAGGCCTATAGACTATATACACACAGATTTATCACACTAAGAAACCAAAACTATAGAACTGACAGTGGCCAAAGTCCAATACAAATGTAAGCGTAACATTAGACATGAAAAAGCTTTAGAAATTCGATAAAAATCAAAGACTCGAGCGAGTTTAAAATGTGTGTTCTGCGCATAGAAATCGCGCACGACCACAATTCCATGCGCTAAATAAAATTTAGTTCAAAATCCCCTCTCTGCATATATTAGGTTGCTGCTACGCTCGCTCGCTTCAGGCTCGCTAGCGCTCACTCCGCAGTATTAACCGTATTAAACCGGTTAGTCCAGTCATACTGTGACCAGAGGTCAAAGAAATTGCAATAGAATTTTTGTATCTGCGAAGCAGATATATATGCTATCGCAAACGTGCCGCGACCGTACCGTACCGTATCCCTAGCCATTCAGCGACGAGCTTATATAATTTAAGCCAATTTAAGCCAATCAGCGATTCGTTTACATCAATTGTTTACATCGTGCCCGCATCTAACATGCGAACGGGCATACTTTAGCCTCGTCAGGCCTCGTGTATAAATCGTGTTATTCTTTCAAAAATATCTTTATATTTTTATCAATTTATCTCGAATTGGCTGTCTTTTTTTTATTCCGAAGTTATTTATCAACATGGAATCTTATCCTCATCTGGTAAGTAGTCAAATACCACATATTATATATTTAAATACCAAATTTGTGCAAATATATGTCCCACATATTTTATAATACACGAGTTCGCCAGTTCGGCAAATATTTACTATACTATCTATAGTTAATATTGCCGTATCTTCGGCGTAGAGTTTACATGGAATGCACTCTGGAATTTTTTTATTAATATATTATACTGTATAAAATATTGGATATTTTCGAGGATATTTTAAGCCATTTATCAACATAGTTCACAAAAAGATTTATACAGTATTAAAAACAATCCTTCTGTAACTTCTGTAATATTTTAAACAGTGAAAACATTCTCAGGAGATTTTGAATTAAATCCTGGTCCTGTATTTCTGTATATTGACTCCATAACTCTGTTCAAAACAACAGTCCAACTATAAAGCTGTCATCAAATGTAGTGTTAGAGCAAAGGTTGAAGATGTTATCAGTTAAAATCATATGGTATAAAATACTTATACATTTTGGTTTTACACATTAGAGTTAATTAAACAAAATTTTTACAAACATTTTCAAATAAAAGAATCCTCACCCTCCCGAGCCTCATTACATTGTCATTTTGCTTTCTAACATAAATATTTTTCTTTAGAGATTAATACAAGAATGAAGAATAAATGTACTGGATATTGGCTGGATAATTTTGTCAGAACAACCAACTTGCAAGACAATCTTACCTAAATTCATTAGTATGGAAAATAACTTAACAGCTACAATGAATAATCATATATTATATGGTAGATTTGATCAATGGCACACAATGTACAGAACTAAACTTGTGATACCTTCTACTCAAAACGATAATCTCCCACAACACAATTGTTTTTGTGTGAATGTGCTGTACGTGTTAAACCGAACAGTGTGGTATATCATTAACCGTGCACAGAACTGGAATTTAATTATATACTTCACTCATGACCTTCAAAACATTTGCAATTATTCAGTGGTCTTCGACATGTTCACCAAATATTTTGTGTATGTTACTCAACAGTTAACATTGGCAAGTGTAAACAACAAGTGACATAACTTTTGCTTCATATGATTACAATAAAGTTTTGAAAATTTGATGAGTATGGATTGAATTGACAGGTAACAGCTTATTAAATAGCCAGCTGTATAGACACTTTGAATATTGTTTGCATGAAATTTTTATTTCCCGACTGCATAATTATCTGTTACAATCATAATCACATTATAAAGTTAGTTAAATTTTCTCTGTGCGGGCGTGGGGGGGGGGGGAGCACTTGCCCTGCCACCCTCCCCGCTGTGTACAGCCCTCTTTTAAATCTTATCTGCTATTATAATAAGTGATGAAATATTTCAATTGTCCCATGTCACCTTCATTATTCAGTTCCTTTCCAGAAAATACAAAATGTGAATCAAGTTTTTTCGCAGATACATGCACGCCTTGCGTACCTATTTTTGTATCTGCGAAGCAGATATATTGCTATCGCAAACGTACCGTATCCCTAGCCATTCAGCAACGGGCTTATATAATTCAGCCAATTTATGCCAATTTAAGCCAATCAGCGATCAGTTTGCATCAATTGTTTACATCCAGTGTTTACATCGTGCCCGCATCTAACCTGCGAACGGGCATATTTTAGCCTCGTCAGGCCTCGTGTATAAATCGTGTTTATATATTTTCAAAAATGTCTTGATATTTTTATTAATTTATCTTGAATTGGCTGAAGAGTTTTCTCTACTTGCGATATTATTCCGTTATTTATCAACATGGAATCTTATCCTCATCTGGTAAGTAGTCAAATACCATATATTATAGATTTAAATACCAAATTTGTGCAAATATATATCCCACATATTTAATACACGAGTTCGGCAAATTAGTAAAATTACTATAGTTAATATTGCCGTATCTTCGGCGTAGAGACTGTGTACATGAAATGCACTCTGGAGTTTTTATTAATATATTACACTGTATAAAATATTGGATATTTTCGAGGATATTTTAAGCCATTTGTCAACATAGTTCACGAAAAGATTTATACAGTAAAACAATCCTTCTGTGACTTCTCTAATATTTTAAACAGTCAAAACATAGCAGGCAATATTGCCAATGAACAATACCAAAGGAAACTAATGGCCTCGGGAGATATTGAATTAAATCCTGGTCGTGTATTTCTGTATAAACTCTGTTCAAAACAGCAGTCCAACTAAGCTGTCATCAAATGTAGTGTTGGAGGTTAAATTATGTTACGGTATCAGTTTACAATATTTAATACATTTTGGTTTTACACATTTAATAGAGTTTATAATTAAACAAAATTTTTACAAACATTTTCAAATGCTAATATAAAAGAATCCCCACCCTCCCTCCTTTAATATTACATTGTTATTTTGCTTTCTAACATAAATGTTTTTGTCTAGAGATTAATGCAAGAATGATGAATAAATGTACTGGATATTGGCTAGATAATTTTGTCAGAACAACCCACTTGCAAGACAACCTTACCTAAATTCATAAGTATCAATGGTATGGATACTGTAATAACTTAAAGGCTACAATAATCATATATTATATGGATGGTCAGATCAATGGCACACAATGTACAAAACTGAACATGTGATACTTTCTACTCAAACCGATATCTCCCACAACACAAATTGTTTTTGTGTGGATATGTTGTGTTAAACCGAACAGTGTGGTATATCATTAACTGTGCACAGGATTGGAATTTAATTATATACTTCATTCATGACCTTTAAAACATTCTCTACTATTCAGTGGTCTTCGATATATGATGGACTCTTTGCTACAGTATTAATGCATGTTCCTCGAATAGTTTGTGTATGTTACTCAACAGTTAACGTTGGCAAGTGTGAACAACAAGTGACAGAACTTTTGCTTCATATGATTATAATAAAGTTTTCAAAATGGGTATGGATTGACAAGTGACAGTTTACTAAATAGACACTGTGAATATTGTTTGCATGAAATTTTTATTATTTGACTGCATAATTATCCGAGTTACAATCATAATCACATAAAATTAGTAGTTAAATTTTTTTTGGGGGGGGGGGAGTTGCCTCTGCTGCCCTCTGTGTTGTCTACAGCCTTGTTAGATTTGTACTATGTTTGACTTTAAAATCTTATTTCCTATTATATTTATTATAATAAGTGATGAAAATGTGAATCAAGTTTTTTCGCAGATACATGTACGCGTCGCGTACCTATTTTTTTAGTGGTAAAATGTGAGGGAAGGTGTCCTGATTAACATACTAAAAATCCTAAAAAATCCCTTCGGTGGAACATGGTGAAAATCGAGTTTTTCT